CTCTTCAAAAAAAAAAAAAAATTCTGGACTTGTATCCTTTAAAGTCTAGTTGGCAAACTATTCCAATATTACAAGTCAATTTTGGCAGAAAAGGGCACTTTTGAAAGGCAACTTGGAAAGCCTATGGGTGAAATTGACTGCACAAACATACATCCTGATCCTCTATACAGTCCGTTGACAAGACAAAAGAATGAAAATTAAATAATTAACACTTGTTCATTTTGCTAGTTTAAATCACAACTCAAATTTTTACTACAGTATTTTCTCTTAATAAATTCAAATTCAATTTTTTCTGTGACTATAATTTTTTCTCACATGAATTTACTTTTTAACTTAAGTTCTCGATTCAAAAGAACGAAATGAACGGGGCTTTAGTGTGTGCATTTAATTATGAGTAGTAAGGTTTTAGTTCCTCTCTTATGGATGCAAATCTTTATAAACTTATAGCAACTATTTCCGACCAGCTTCTGCAGAGCTAAACAGCTTTCCGTTCTTCTTTTCATATTCCAGCTTCAACTCCTCTAAACGCTTGGTTACCTAATGTAATTAATCAAAACAGAATACCTAAGAGGTGGGACAAAATACCCGTCTTGACATTTAAATCATGTACAAAATAGTATCAACTAAGTTTGGCCCTAAACATGCATTTGAGACCTCACTTTGCGACCTATAATTCAAGAAGGCACAAAACTAGCCCCCGGGCTTACAAAAGTTGTAATTTTGATACTTCAGTTGATGAAAGGTAAACTTTTTAATGGTTTTAAACACGTGTGAGTCACGCGACTGTTTTATAAAGGAGAATGACAACAATAAATTTAAACAAAATAGACTTTAAAGTTAAAAAAAAACAAAAACAAATCACAAATGCTTCCTTGCTTTAGTTGTAAGTATCACTTCCTACTGCGCTTATAATCCCCCCATTGTCCTCTCCCTCCTATATTATCTTTTAATAAATGAGTCATGTGACGTAAATGTGTTTAAAACTATAAAAAATTGATGCTTCATTGATGAAAATACTAAAATTGCAACTTCTAATGAGCTCGGGGTCAGTTTTGTGCCATTTTGTATTATAGGGGCCAAAAGACAACTCATATAATTCAGGGACTAATGATGATAATGTACCTTGATTGAGTAAGCCATAGGTAGTAATGTATCCGGATCCATCGCATCCTCAGGGAAGTTGCGCAGAGCGTGTATGAGTTTCTCGAAGGGTAATTTCACCTTTTAAAGAAAAAGATACAGACATGCAGCTATAAGAAGGAAAGATACTGATTACATCATGCATGGGTCTGAAGCAGAATAAGATTCCTTGTATGCTTACCAAGTCATCGTGGCAATACTTTAACAGGGCCAAACCAACTTTGAACACAATTTTAACACCCTGGCAAAAACGTATCAAAAAATAGATTCATATTGAGTTTAAAACCAAAGATAGTACTTCAAAGGACTAAGTTTCAACAACATAGGATACCAACCTCATAAAGAAAAACATCCCAAATTCGAAGAGCCAAGTGGAATGGGAATGAATATGAGAAAACAGTGATAAACCATTGACTGGCATACATGCTAGGATTGATCATTTCTTGAGAAAAATGCTCACCCAGCTTTGGCAGATACTCCTTCACCAAGCGGTCAAACTGATAAAGGTATTGTTGTACCAGAGGTAGCCCTACCTACTCAACAATAAGCAGAAACTCTACCTCAAAATACTGAAAATTGTTCTTCATAGGCAAGCCAAAAAAAAGAAAAAGAAAAAAAAAAGAAAATCCCAGTAAAACTCAAATATATACTAGAAAGAAAAAGACACCGAACAAGCCGGTTTTGCTAGGGCGAGTTCTATGTTAGATATCAAAAGAGTCCCATGTGGAATAAATATAAAATGGTGTGTGGGTTTTTAAGCCCTTGGATCCCCTCCCCTTGCAAGCCGGTTTTGCTAGGGTGAGTTCTACCTAATGGGTTTGTAACATCCTATAGATCTAGGATTCCGAAGCTCAGATTGATTGTTGCCAATCAAGTCCAACTTCTATACGTGACGACTTCTGCATGCACATACATCTAATGGCAGCATAAGACAATCTTGTTCACCAAACTCTAACCATACAAAAAAAAAAATGATAATAAGACACTGAAGAAAAGGTACCAGATACAATCCTTCCATTGGAGCATGCACAGCTCCTTTAAGTAGAGCAACCAATAACCAAAACGCATCCTCTTCACTCATATAAAGAAGCAACAACCCAGCCAGAAAACCCATTCCCTGCATTTTCAACAAATCGAATTATTCAGTATTTGGCTTGAACTTAGTAGAGGAAAAAGAAGACAAAGTCAACAAACCTGTACATATCCAACATCTCTGTCATAGACAGAGTATGCCTTCAGAACATTGTAGAGGGACCTTTGGCCAGGGCCATGTCTCTGCTGGAAGAAGACATGTGAAGGGAAGGTGCGAGAAATATCTCGAATTATATCCAGCTCTGAAGCCGATGTCTCGTATATTACTAATTGCTGCAACAAACATGCAGCTTCTCAAGGACAATGCTACGCATATATGTTCACAAAACAAGTACATCAAATAAAAACTCTGCCATATATTTGCATTGAATCATCAAGAAAAACATCCTAAGCATACCTCTGTACAGTATCCTTAATCATAATTAGAAATTATTTTGATTCTGCTTAACAGAACCATGTTATAGACCCATCACTAACTAGACATTAATGAGTAAAACACAAATTTAAGCCCACAGAAAAATTTATCACGAGACTATATATCAGTGCAGCTTCAAAAGACAACCTGGCTTTTCAAAAGACATCACTTATAGCAGATGATTGATGTGACCCAGAGTCACCAGACTTACCATCAGAAAAAAAGGTTAGAAATTAGCATTTATTCGACCGATCACCTTTTTGCAGAAAATAGTTGCCAAATTTAAACTACGTTACAATACTTTAGCATCAAACGGTATCAAAGACAATGATTTCGACGAATTTGTTTCGCATAAAATAAAACATCATAATCAACGCAAGTGATACCTTTATGTTGACTGCCACCAAGTAGCAATGGTGTGTTTTATAACTAAAGTTAAAGACATAATAAAAAACCTAGTGTAGCATAGAAACAACTTAGAACAACTATATTTCATTTTGTAATCCAATCAACTCTTTAGTTTCACCTCACGATCCAAACAAAGCAATTAAATTTGTACAAACCTACTCATCAACAACAGTCCAGGCATATTATTTCGATCGATTACGTCTATCAAAAGAGACACAATTCAAGACTCCGTGGAGATTACCTCATAAACTCCTGGATTCATCAGTAAAAGGTCCCGACTTCCCGAGATCAACTGCCAAACAAGGCCCCGTAAACAATCAGGAATCCCTTTACTTATCCGCCTTTTAACAACATGAGGCTTCCTTCTGACATAATGCTTCCAATCACTGCCTCCAACCCCAATCATCTTCCTCCATTTTCTAACCCTCCTTTCATCCCTATGGAAACATCACAAGGAAATATGAACATTAACATCTCACACTCATCCAAATTGAAAAACTTAAAAACGGTTCGGTCAAAGAAAAGCACAAACCTTTCATATTCATTGGCTGATCTGCCCTTTGTCAAAGCCTCAGATGAATTATTGACTTCCTGCTTTACAAACCCAAATCTGTCTAGTGGCCTTGGTGAAGGAACTGGACCTGGCTCATAATCATCTATCCGTTTTTTTTCCATTTCACTATTATCAAAATCTCACTTGAAACTCACAATGCAGATTACACAAATTTCTTGTCATCTTCAACTTGTTGACCCTTTCACAACTTCTAAAGCATATAAAGCAAATCTGGGAAAAAAAGAAGAAGTGGTTTTATTTATTTATTTTTTCAATTACTACTTGCATTAATAGCTCTAAAAATGGTAACTGAAACATATAAATACTAAATTGAAAGTCCAAAAACAGATGAATTACCATGAAAAATTAATAATAAAAAAGCTATTTGTTCAAGTGTAATGACCCAAATATCAAAGAGCCAACATGGGCATAATTTTATTAGGATTCCTGAAGCATATGCTGGAGCAATGTTGGTATACGACAAAAGGAAGAATATGATCCATCGAAGAAGGACTAAGGAACTTTGTCCCAAGCCTCTCACAGAGGCACACAGATTCATACCCAATTCCCCAAATAAAATAATTGAAGTGATCATACTAAAAAAAGAAAAGAAAAGAAAAGATAAATATCCAACAGAAAATCAAAACCGCACCTTTTCACGTGTATTATCAAATGGGGTTCATCCCAAAACCATGAATTTCTCAACGAATTGAAAGAGCACGAACAAAACACACGTGGGTATCATAGAACTGATCGAAAACGATGAGAAGACCAACCTGGGTCGGCTAATCTGAGTCGGGAAGTGATGGGTTTTCTCTTCAAATGATTGTCTTGTATTGTACGAGTTTTTTTTTTGTTTTTGTTTTGACGATTATAATAAAGATTGTTGATGTTTGTTTTATGGTTTTGTTTCCAATGAAATTCAGAGGAAAAGGGGAGCTAGGAATGGCGGTTTTGCTTATCCTACAAACCAAACGGATCACTACGCGTGTGTTCAACTGCTAAAGTGTATCATCGGTCTGATGAAAATCATGGAACGATTTGCTCGGAATAATAAAATTAAAAATAAATCAAAAGAAATGTTCCTGCATAGCAATAATCAAATGAACCTAAATAAATTTACAGAACGACGTGCCGTTTTGTATGATGAAACGACAAGTCAATAATCAAATGAACCCAAATAAATTTACAGAACGACGTGCCGTTTTGTATGATGAAACGACAAGTCAAGCGTCCTCAAAGTTTTCGCAAGCTAAGATGAAGACGCAGAACAGAGTCTGCAGTCAGACCAGGATGCCCATGAAGGACCCCACGGGTTTATTTTTTGGATATTCATATCAATATTGATATTGATATTTCTTAGCCTCTTTTCTCCTTCCTTTTTTGAAATTCTCAAAAAGAACGAAACCCAAGAGAACAGATTTCTTAGCTTCAGCTTTGCCTTCACCTGCTGATTCAATCAGGTAGTTACCCCCTTAATTTATCGTGTTCAAAGCTGTTCACTTTTACTCTTTTTTATTTTATTTAGTTTTTTTTTATGGATAAATGGGTCAAATACAGTTAGTGGGTAGTTTTACTTAATAGCAGAAGTTGCAGTAGAGAGAGACATGGCTTGTTTTTCTCTTGCTTTCAGTAATGGGTTCTTGGTAGCCCGTGACAAGTTCGGATTTTGCGGTGGAAAAACCAAGTCTTTGAGGATATGTGAACGTTTTTGTTGTAATCGTGCATTTCCCTTTGCTTCTGTGATGGGATTTCATAGATTTTACAAATCTCAAAATGGGTTGCTTTGGAATGGAAATATTAGCTCATTGGTTAATAATGGTTATTGTAGCGTTTCCCCATTTGGGTTATGCAGTTGTTATAATTTGCAAAATGGGTTGCCTTGTGAAGATGAGATTGAGATATTGAGGAGTGGGAACAATGGAGATAATAAGCAGGCCTATTTGGGGAAAAGAGAAAGCGGTCGAGTGAAAAGGAGAAGGAGATTTTCGTTAAGGTTACGCCCGAGGTTTCGGTTGTTGACTATAAAAATGAAAAGAGCTTCACTTGGTTCTGTGTTGAATGATGTTGGGGCTTTTTTGAGAAAGAATATGAGGATGGTAATGCTTTCTGCTTCGCTTTCTGTTGCACTGGGGTTGTGCTATCTGTTTCTGAAGATAACTTCATTGCCATCTCCAAAAATGGTTCCATATTCAGACTTGATCGCGAGTCTCCAGAATGGTTCTGTTACCAACGTTCTGCTCGAAGAGGGATCTCGTCGTATATATTATAATACGAAAATGCAGAATATAGAAGATACTGGAATGTCCAACAGAGAGTCTACGGCAATAAGTCTTCCAAATGAAAGTGTGGCAAATAATGTTGTGAGCGATGATGTTTCAAAACCAGTCCAGCCGGTGAGTGCAAATGTAATGAAGAAATTTCTGAGGAAACGAGCTTCAACCCCAGAATGGCAGTATGCCACGAGAAAAGTAGATCATGATGAGGAGTTTCTTCTTAGTTTGATGAGAGAGAAGGGGACTATATATAGTTCAGCCCCTCAATCAGTGCTGATGTCAATGAGGAGTACTTTATTAACTGTGATAGCACTGTGGATTCCTTTGATTCCGCTAATGTGGCTACTTTATCGTCAACTTTCTGCTGCTAATAGCCCGGCAAGAAAGCAGAAACATGATTTGGAGATGGTCGGCTTTGATGATGTTGAAGGTGTTGATGCTGCTAAGTTGGAGCTCATGGAGGTAAGCGTCTCTTCACTTGAAAATTATGGCAAACATGCAAACTCTCTCTATTGTCTCAATGATAGCTTTATAATTGAATTAATGGTGTTACCTGGTGTTCACAATCTGGATTAGATGTAAAAATTTTATACTTGCTTGCCATTTTCCAAAAGCTTTCTATATGTTTTCTACAAAAGCATTTTCTCAAGCTATGACGTTTGGTTCATGGATTAGAATCATGAGATTAGAACCATTTTCAATTTACGTGTATTTTTTGTGAGAGAAAACACTATAGCGAACTATGAACCATGGTTCGAATTAGGGTATGAATCCCCTTACCAAACACACCATCGCTAGCTAAAACTCTATCGGTATTTAACCAGCCGTGAAATATGATTTTGGCATGATACTAATAGACCGTCACGTGCATATCTCCTCTTGTACATGAACTTTGTAGGATTCAATTTGTTTGGGAAGTAGTTGACCTACAAATCTGTCCAAATTGAATGCTCCTTGTTTATATGTGAATGTATTTGCTGAGTATATCCCGCAATTTGGAAATTTAGGCCACTGATTATCTCTTTGAGTCTCTCCTTTGTTCATCTTTGTTGACACATTTTCCATTTGTAGATAGTTTCATGCCTGCAAGGAGCTATTAACTATCAAAAGTTAGGAGCAAAATTGCCCAGAGGCGTGTTGCTGGTGGGTCCACCAGGAACAGGGAAAACGTTATTGGCCCGTGCTGTGGCTGGAGAGGCGGGTGTACCATTTTTCAGTGTTTCGGCAAGTGAGTTTGTGGAAATGTTTGTTGGAAGAGGGGCAGCTCGCATTAGAGACCTTTTTCGTGTGGCAAGAAAATATGCACCTTCAATTATTTTCATCGATGAACTTGATGCCGTAGGAGGAAAGCGCGGTAGAAGTTTCAATGATGAACGTGACCAAACATTAAATCAGGTAATCGTACTTTGAATCTATCTAATTTCTAATTTCTTGCCATTTTTTTTTCCTGGCCCGTAAAAAGTGGTCCTTATCCTTCGGGATTGACAATATGACAGAAATTATTCATTCATAAATTTTCTGTAATTGGTTTAGTCTAATTGCATATAGGAGCCTTTTAAGAACTTTTAGTAACTTATTGGGATAGAAACTTTTCTTTTATCCCCTGAAAAAGGCTTTGCAATCTCATTTTACTCATAGTTTTCCAGCTTATATGTTGGTTTCTGAAAGTCTTCTACCATTTGTAGCTGCTGACAGAAATGGATGGATTTGAGTCAGACATAAAGGTCGTAGTTATTGCAGCAACTAATCGACCTGAAGCATTGGATCCAGCCCTTTGCCGGCCAGGTCGCTTCTCGAGAAAAGTACTCGTGGGAGAACCAGATGAAGAAGGAAGGAGAAAGATCTTGGCTGTACATTTGAGAGATGTTCCTCTGGAGGAAGACATGAATCTAATATGTGACCTAGTTGCTTCTCTGACCCCAGGTTTTGTGGGCGCTGATCTTGCAAATATCGTTAATGAAGCCGCTTTACTTGCTGCTCGTGAAGGTTGGTCTGATCATATTGTACCTTCCATTCAGAATCCCTTCTCTTTATCATTTTATATGCTCAACTTTCTCCATAAACTCTTTATAACGATGCAATGCTTCCTTTCGAAAAAAAAAAACAAATGATGCACTGCTTATTTCTATATGGTTCTTTGAAGAGAGAAAAATGGAGATTTCTGGGTTCAGTGCAAAAGTTGTAATTGACTTTGGGGTTTTCAGGTGGTGAAACTGTGACAAGAGAAGATATAATGGAAGCAATTGAAAGAGCAAAATTCGGTATCAATGATAAGCAGCTTAGGCCTACCGCACTAAGCAAGGAGCTAGGGAAACTGTTTCCATGGCTGCCGTCTTTGATGAGAAAGAATGACACAAGAGAGGAAGGGTTTCAGGGACCACTAGGATATCAAACTTTAAGCTAAAGAATGCGTATATATTGAGATTTTTCTTGTAACTCATCTTGCATTTTATACTTGAATATTCATATAATTTCTGATGAGTAAGAACTTGATTTATTGTCATCTGTTCAACACATAATGTGATAGCTGGGAATGATTTTGCATTAATTCCCATAACGATTCGAAAATTTTTACAACAAATTAGAAGTTTCTACTTCTTAATAGCTGAAACATTTGAAGGGTTTCATTTTTATGAAGCCAGAAAGTGTCATACAGTCATACATAAATGGAGTCTCATCTCATGAATCTTCTGAGATCTTCTATTTGTGATTCTGGTTCATTTCAATTCGACAATGTCTAGTCTAACTCTAGTCTAGTATGTCCTTACCATTCATTCATTTTGAAGGCCTAGTCTAAGTGCATCTCCAATGCAATGCTATAATTAATGTATGCCAATTGCAAATTTAACATTATTTAAGTGCAAAAAAACTCTCCAATGCAACGTTATTTGTTATGCTAAATTTCCTATATATTATACTTTGTGACAAATTTCCCATCAAGTATATCATATGAGAAATTTAACATTTGATTTCTATTAGTTGAAATGTTTGCTTTTTCTATGTGATTGAATGCAACTTTTGCATTTTCTAATATTTTAAAACTAAAAGTTTTCTTTTACAACTTCCAAAGTTTACTAATTATAGGTAAATGTATATTTAGCATTTTAAATAGCATTATGTATTGGAGTAAACATGAAAATAATATACCATATCATATTTTTTGATGCTAAATATATAATCAGCATTAACATTTGCATTGAAGTGGTCTAATCTAGCCTAATCATGTTATTTTCTTTCCCTTTTGTGAAAAATATTTGGATTATTTTAGTTCACATACTCTGCTATTCTCTAGTTCCTTAATTCCAATGATAAGTCAAGTTAGAGGTGGGGTGGCCTTGTTATAGGTAAATTTAAGATGACAAAACATTTGCTCTACTGGGAAAATGACTTTCAAGGTCTCATTCGGAACGAAATTCTTTGCAGGCCATGGTCATTAGAAGAATTCGAATGTAAGCTTTTAGAAGTTCTTTTAGGAATCCTTGGAAATGCAATTCTTAACTAAACGAATCATTTCTCAGATTAACCAAATGGGAGATCGGGGCTGGTACTAAAATCCGTTCCATGGGAAGACATTTATAGTGTGACGATCAGCCCTTTGTTATCTCCTTTCCAGGACTCTTACAATTTGTTAGCACTCATATTGCCCCTATTGCAGAGGTTTGCATGGCTCCTTACAAAACATTTGGAACTCTGGCCTTTGAAGAAATCTAAATGAAAAGAGACTTTGAACTTGTCTTACTTGCTCTCACCCTTTCATTTCAGATAATAAACAAGTCAGTTGTGCAATTTTCATTTAGGATAGCGCACCTAATGTGTTCTCTTTTTTATTTTCTAGTATAAGTAAAATTTTTCATATATGTATTTTCTACGTTATTAAAACTTCAATTATAACTTAATACGTGCATCAACATATCCAAACTAATGAATTGGAAATTGGATAGTTAGGTAAATTTTATTCTTTTTATAGTTTTAGTATTATTTTGTTCTTTTTTTGGTAACTCATAGGACTTTCCTCTACATTTAACATTGTCCTGATTATCTATCTATTCCTAACTACGTAAAAGAGTACATATGAGCTCCTATTCATTTTGTGGTCGTCCAATGCGCATCGTTAAGGATTTTTTTGTTTAAATATAAATCCTTTATTAGCTTCTTTTCTAAAACTGATGATGCTCCAAATTGGAAAACCTAACCCACCTTAAAGCTTGTTTGGAATTTAGATTTTAGGATTGAAAAAATAAAAGAAAATGTGAGGGCAAATATTTTTTGGAATCAAATGAATAGAAATAAGAGAGAAAACTTATTAGAGTAAGCCTTGATTTTATTTTCCTTAAAAAGGAGGAAAATAAAATTTTAAGAAAAATTAAGGGAAAATTAAATAGCATTTTTATTACATGTTTTTAAAGTACATAGCATAATTTTTATAACTTGGTAAATTATAACATATATTGTCTTCCCTTTTTAAATATTTATTGTCTTTTCCAATTTTACTCTTTCTTATTTTTCCCTTTTCCCCTTTCTATTATGCTTCTTTCTCCTATTCTCTCTCATGCGTCTGTTTAGAACCCTTTCTCTCTCTTCGATTCTCTCTCTCCTCCGTCCTCTCCCTCTCTCTCCTCCGTCCTCTCTCCGTCTCTCACCTCCGCAGGTTCCTCCCCCTCTCTCTCACCTCCATTAGTTCCTCCTCTCTCCCTCTCTCCACGACCGCTTCTGAATTTATAGAAATCTGGTTACTAAATAGTGATTGCGTGATTGTGAGATCTCGTCATTGCTGGTGGTGATGATGATGAAATCTAGACGGATAGTCAAAAGCTGACATCGCTAGAACCTCGACGAGATTTGAAGGAGATGGAGGTAGTCAAGACATTGCCGGTGAACTAGAACCACACGCGAACCAGATCCCGTGGTGAAGGTCGCGACATTAGCATTAGAGCCGGAGGAGATCGACGAGCAACTGGTGGGCAATGGCGACCACAAATCGTCGAGATTATTGCGCCGTGGTGGATTTCGGTCGCGATCGCTGGTCACAACTTCGATATCTTTTTCTCTCTCCCAGCTCATCTCCTTTTTTCTCTCTCTGATTCACGATCAGATTTTGACAACATCGCTCTCCGGTGCAATCTCATCTTCTAGGGAGAAGATCCACTTGAACAAAGCCATATCCAAGCGAAGAAATTCCACAGACATCGCGATTGTCGATTCTAGCACGATCTCATCGTCTTGAAGCTAGATCTTATCATCGCTGCTCATGTGAGCCAACGATATGCGAATTCTGATTCAGGCAAGCATCATTGGCGGTGAGGCGAGGAATGTGGAGATTTGTGGATTCTCGAGAACATCTAATGATTTTGATTTTGTGGATTTTTCGTGATTTTTACATTTTCTGATATATGAAAGTTTTGGTAGATTTGTTTGTATTTTTCAGTTTTTTTGTTGTTGTATTTTTTGAATATAGTAAATACTATATTTACCAATAAATATTAGACTGAATATAATTTATGATCTAATAAATATTATATTTATTAGTAAAAATTTTACTGAATTTAGTATTTACCGTTAAATACATTATTTATCGTGAAATACAGTAGTTACTATTTACTGACGCAAGCGGTCAAATTTTTAAATAAATAGAGTGTTTATAAGTAAATATATTATTTATCGATAAATACAGTATTCAGTGGTTGTCGAAGTCGGTCGTCGAATTTTCAGATAAATATGGTAAATATAATATTAACAGTAAATATGATATTTATCAGTGGCCGAAGCCGTCTGTTGGATTTTCAGATAAATATGATAAATACGGTATTTACTAGTATATATGATATTTATAGGTAAATACAGTATTTATCACTCTATGAAGCCAGTCGTCAGATTTTTAGATAACTATAGTGAATATGATATTTACTAGTGAATATGGTATTTACCTGTAAATATAATATTTATTAGTCACCGGAGCATGTCGCAGAATTTTTAAATAAATATGATAAATACAGTATTTACCAATCGTCATAGATGACCGCCGGTGACGGTTACAAGAAAATGACTATCGGCTGCTGAATAATAGTCAACGGTTGCCGGAGCTGGACATGACATTTGCTGGTAAATATGATATTTACTGGTAAATATAATGTTTAATAGCCGCCGAAGTCAGTGGCAGGATCTTTAGATAAATACGGTATTTATCGGTAAATACTATTTTAAACGGTTGCCAGAGTCAGTGGTTGAATTTTCAGATAAATACGGTATTTACTCGTAAATATACTGTTAAATGGTCATAAGAATCAGTGCCTAAATTTTTAGATAAATATGATATTTACTATTATATACGATATTTATTAGTAAATATAGTGTTAAACGGTCACTGATGTCAGTGGCCGAATTTTTGGGTAAATATAATATTTATTTGTAAATACAGTATATATTGATAAATACGATATTTACCTATAAATACAGCATTAAACGGTCGCTGGAGTCGTGGTCAGCTTTTCAGGTAAATATGATATTTACTAGTAAATACGGTATTTATCAGTAACTACAGTGTTAAACAATCGCTGAAAAATAATTACCAGTCGTCAAAAAACAGTCATAAGTTGTCAAAAAATGGTCTCCAATTGTCAATCCCGGTCATCGTAGACTTGATTATAATCTACTTATTTTAAAAAATATGTTATAATTTACTAGTTTTTAAAAAATAAATATTTAAAGAAAAGAGAGATGTGGGAAAAAAATAAATTTTTTTAAAATTTTAATAATATTTAAAACTTAAAATATCAAGTTATAATTTATTATTTTTAAAAAATATGTTATAATTTACTAATTAATTTACCGATTATGCTATTTCGCTCTTTTATCTCGAAAATTAATAGGGTTCTCCGGTCGGCCCCGCCCTCGCCCTCGCCCTCTCTCTCTATCTCCTTCTTCGCGTCTCGCTCTTCAGTCTTCACCACTCGCTCTTTAGTCTTCACCACTCGCTCTTCTTCTTCTTCTTCTTCTTCTTCTTCTTCTTCTTCTGACGGCGGGTGAAGCTCGGACGCCGGCCGACTGAAGCTCCGACGGTAAGTCTTTAATTCTCTCTGTTTCTTTCTGTTAGTCCTAGATTTGTGTTTTTGTTGTGGGTATTTCATCCTTTATTATTTTCTTTTCTGAAACTGATACTCCAAATTGGAAAACCCTACTCACCTTTAGTTTTAATCTCTTTCAGTTTCACACTTTCACTTATCGGCTCTCTCTCTCTCAGACTCAAACTAACAACCTTTGCCCAGTGATCTCCTTCGGCGTCTCTGAGTGAGGGTCTCCTTGCTTCTAGTCAACTCTGATTCTGGTGAGCGTTATTCTTATCTTAATTGTTGATAACTCTGTTTGTTTCCTCGTGGATTTTCCATTGTTTCGATTTTTTGTTTCAATTTTTTTTGTTTGAGTGTTTTTTTGGTGATGCGGCTTGTTTGATTGCCGAGAACAAACAAAAGCATATGATGCAGAGTTGAGTTTTTTGATTGTTGTGTGTGTCAATTTTCTTTTTAACTTTTATAATTTTTTTTTCCATTTGTTTCTGTCTCACAAATGAAGTTTAAAGGTAAATCTCGAAATCTTCTCTGGTTGATGAAATGACCAAATTAATAGAGCAGAACAATTAAAGTAGGCGAGAAAAATCGTGCTAGCGCCCCAATCTAACAAGGACTGATTTGATTACTTGCTGTTATATGGAGAGTAAGACAGCGTAATCTTTTATTTCATCTATATTTATTGGTGCTATTATGCTATACGAAGTATAAAAGGAAATTTGAGATTCTTGTATTTTGCTCTACTTTGTATGGGGTTGCTAAGAAAATCTTACATTTTATCTTCATGTGTCAAGTTCTTAAATTTCATACCTTAGATAAACAAAAATATCTATATCTCTGTAAATTTGCCATGATATGGGTGGTTTTCATACGCCTGAATCCTGATATTTTTTTCCGCTCTTATTGGCGATCAAAACCAGACAAATGGAAAAGACAAGCATACTTGTGGCATGTGGCCTTACCAACATGAAGCTATTATGATTTACAAGCACTTGTCATCAAGAGATTATACGGGTACAGTTGATGCAGAATCAAGAATTTATGTGAATACGAAAGCCAGGGAATAGAAATCAGGTAATACTATCCCTTGATCATTAAAAAAAAAATGTATGTATTGTTGTTTAACATGGTAATTCTGAGGCTAGCCCTGTTTTTGGTAATTGTCTAATTGACGTGCTAAGCCCTTTAAACTACAAGTGATGTCATATTAGTTAAACTGCTATTTCTCTCAATTTGCAGATTTGACTTTCATGTTCCTAATTTAAGATAATAAGAAAAAAGAAAAATCATCGCGTGTTTAACACCATCAGCAATATGAAGCTGATTCTGTTTTTTCATCAGTTATCTGTTCTTTTTTTTTCCCCTAAATTACCGTTGCAATTTGAAATGCCAATTTTAACGCAATCAAGAAGTTGCTCAAAGAAAGAAATTATATGTTGGAATTCATAGAGCATACAGTCTAATTAACTCCCCATGTTTCCAATTCTTCATTTTTGTTTGTCCACCATCCTGTGTTGGTTTCTTTAACTTGATATCATATATAATATATGTATAATCTCTCTGTATCTATCCTCAATCCATGTAGTATTTTGATAAGCAAGAAATTGTATTGATGGCATTCATTTTTTTTAATGTTTGTATTGTACAGAGCAGTTAACAAATCAAACCTCCTCCAAGTTTGGAAGTGTGAGAGAGTGGGAGACTTAGAGTGGATCTTGAGAGGAAAATCAAATCAAATTCAGATTGAGATGAGATGAGCCAATAACAGCCTAATTGTCAAGCCACTATTATCATGGCTGACGCTCAGCCTCAGCCTCAGCTCTCATTTCCGGCTTCAGCCTCCATGGCCTTCATGCCCCAAACTCAAACTCAAACCCCGGTTTCTTCTTTCCCACTTCAGCCTCAAGCTCAAGCTCAAGCACACACTAACTATGCGGATCAAGCTTTGATCCCTTTTCCTACTCCTCAACCTCCCGCTCCGGCTCCGGCGAGTTCTTCTCGTACGTCTTTTGTATTTCTTCCCATCTTTTTCCTTTTCTGTTCAATTATAGGTTTATGCAATAATGAAAGCAATGGATTATCTTTTTAGGGTTATGGTTTTTTTTTTTTTGTTTGACTTCCTTTATGCTTTTATTTTAGGGCTTTATTTTTTTGTCATTTGATTTCCTTTTCTTTTTTCTTTTTACTTTTTCTGTGAGGTAGGCTATTTATAGTTCTCCGTGTCTTCTCCCCTTTTTGGGTTAATAAACAATGGATTTTAGACCACTGTGAATGAAAGCTTAACCAGTGTCTTAAGGCACTTTGGTTTGCTTAATTTTCAACAAGTTTTTGAAACAAAGGATTTGTTATTATTTTTATGTACATAGTTCATCATATTGCTTACATATGTATCTTGAACAATATAAATAGGCAAACCTGAACATCTAATGCACAAGAATCGCCTCCAAGAATGCACTCACAAGTTGAACATACCATTGCCCATTTATCAAACCATTAATGAAGGATTTGAACATGCCCCACAGTTTAGAGCAACTGTATTAGTTGATGGTGCCAAATATACTTCTCAAAAGACCTTTTCCACTCGTAAAGCTGCTGAACAAGACGTTGCCGAACTTGCGCTGAAGTATATATCCCAGAAAAAGCCTGATGATGGATTTCCACGGGGATTTCCAGATGCATTGCCTCTTATTCACAAGGTTAGTTTTTTTTTTTTTTTTTTTTTTTTCTTTTCTTTTCTTTTCTCAATGTAAATCTCACATAGCATTTTCTCTTTATCTAACTACTTTTTCTTCCTCAATCAGTGCTCCTGAAATGTTTATGGTAAAATGCTTGACAACTTTTCAAGTTTCCTTTAATCAAAGAAAAAACTGTCAAAGTGAAGGTCGCAAACTATGCTCCATACGTCACTGAAAATTTAACAAAGCTCCTTTAATATTTTATTTTTGCACCTAGTCCCCCAAGTCTTGCATTTTACTATTGCTTGCTAGGTGAAGGGGAAAAAAAAGAAAAAAAATGCATAAATGAGGTGCAACTTTCTAGTGGTTAATGCTAAGTAAGATTTTGTTTCCTTTTCGTATTTCTGGAAATTACACTAAAACTGTTCCATACTTATTTATTTTAGCAACTATTGGTCATTATCGATGTAGTGGTTTAACTAAACCGTTCTTGATTATTTTTCAGGACACAGTCTTTTGCAAGTCTATCTTGAATGAATTTGCTACTAAGATGAGTATGGAAATGCCTACTTACAACACCATTAAACCCGAAGGATTGCTTCCGGTGTTCAATTCTTCTCTGGTTTTCAATGGTGCTTCATACACTGGTGGTGCCGGTAAAAATAAGAAAGAGGCTGAACAATTGGCGGCTCGTACCGTTATTTTGTCACTTTTGGGTACCTTGACTACATTAGCAATTACAATTTTGTTTTGAGAACGCTTGATTCTTAGGAGAAAATGGTGTCTTCATGCGTGGCCATATTATGGCTGACTAATTGAGGATATTGCAGGTGATTCTAGAATGGGGAGAGTTCTTTATGATATCATTACATCTAAAGTCAAGCTCTATGCTGCGTTGCATAAGGTTAGTAACCTTAGCACTATTCCTTCAATGGCAAACACGACGCATTGTTCTGAGGGCGTGCCTGGTAAAGATGTTGGAGCTGAAGCCAGTTTGGCTGCTAACAATGCTCTAATAGCTGCTAGTAGTCTCCCAACAGTTGTTGATAATGTTGTGGCTGGTGCCGTTCCCGAATTTGGAAATGGTGAATTCCAGATAGTTGGGCCACAACCTTCTTTTGGAGTAAACAATCTACTTGTGCAAGCCACTCAAGCAACTGAATTTCCAATTGCTGCAACAAGTGTTGTTCCAGACTCTGGAAATAGGCCGCCAAAGCATGAATTCAAGGCACAAGAGCCAGAACACTCTTTTGGAGCAAACAATCAACCTGAGCTAGCCTCCCAAGCAACTAAATTACCAATTCAATTTGTGCATCCAACTTCTGCACTTTCTATGGAAACTGGTCCAAGTTCAAAGAAGCGCCGTAAGAACAAGAAGAAGGCTAATAAGAGATTGTGCACTGGTGCTCAGTGAGTTTTCTTTTCTTCCCCAAACTTTTACTTCTGGTGTACACTTTGTAGGGATTTAGTGTCCTGAGATTTAAATTTGCCTAAAAATATTTTTATTGCATAAGTAGATTGTGGAAATCTGGATCCTTCCTGATCTCTAGGGGTCCGGATTTTTCTCTAATTTGAAGGATATTTGCCAGCTGTAAATTAGATGTCAAATAGCCTGTTTTATTAGTTTCCTAGAATAAAGAATTCTTGTAGTAACTTACCAATTCCCATTTAAGTAGTTTCCGATCTTTAGTCCTTTAGTTCTACTATATATATTCTTGTAATGTTATACTAGAAGATCAATGAGAAATTATCAATTTCACCCTCAATTTCTCACATGGTATCAGAGCACTCTCCGAACCTCTAAAATTTTTCTGATGCCCAAGTACGAAATGGCCGGAGAAAAACAAACCGAGACCTCCTCATCTGAGGTTTCATCAAAACCCGAAGCAGCCATCAGAGGCAGCCAAGACGGGCAGCCAAGACGGGTCTAAATGTGTTCAAATTCCCATCACCGGACACAAATTAAATGGGACTAATTATCTCCAATGGTCACAATCTGTCAAGATGTCCATCTGTGGGCGAGGAAAAGATGAATACTTCACCGGAGAGATCGTTCAACCAAAGGATCCAAAATACAGAACCTGGAAGGTGGTAAACAATTTGGTAATGTCCTGGTTAGTCAATTCTATGACCAATGAAATTGGTGAGAATTTTCTTCTCTATGACACGGCACAAGAAATTTGGGAGGCAGCGAAGGAATTATACTCCAGCAAAGAGAACACCTCAGAAATCTTTGAGGTTGAAAGTATCCTTCATGATCTTCGGCAAGGGGATCTTAATGTGACTCAATACTATGGCATTCTTACTCATCATTGGCAGCGGCTGGATGTGTTTGAAGAACATCATTGGGAATGCCAGAATGATGCAAAGAAATACAGGGAAATAGTTCAAAAGAAAATAATATTCAAGTTCCTCATGGGACTTAATAAGAATCTTGATGAGGTTCAGGGGCGAATACTGGGAATGAAACCCCTGCTTAGTATCCGGGAGGCCTTCTCTGAGGTGCGAAAAGAAGAAAGCAGGAAAAAGGTGATGATGGGAGATGTTCCTGCTACTCCAACCGTTGGTCAGAATTATGCCCTAGCTGCTCGAGGAGTCCAACATCATAGCAGTGACAACCGAACAAAGAAGGGAAGACCGTGGTGTGAGCACTGCAGGAAACCTAGTCACTCTCGAGACACTTGTTGGAAGATTCACGGCAAACCTGCGGATTGGAAGCCATCCAGGAATGTTCCTGACAAGAGAGCCGTGGTAACCATGCTTCAATGGAAGACGGATCTTCTCCTCTAGAATCAAGTCCTTTCACCAACGAACAACTCGAGACCCTGCCGAAAATGTTCACTCAGCAAAATACAATCCATAATACCATTGGAACAGGATCCGTAGCACAAAAGGTAATCACTTTAGTGCCCTTACCGTAAACTCGAAGAACTCAAAACCATGGATTGTAGGCTCCGGTGCCTCCGATCATATGACAGGAGATGCCTCACTGTTCCACAAGTACAATCCATGCCAAGAGAACTTTACAATAAAAATAGCCGATGGATCTCTCTCTAAAGTGGCCGGAACAGGTTCCATTATCATTTCAAAGGACCTCACTCTGAATTCAGTCCTCTATGTTCCGAATCTGGATTGCAATCTTTTGTCCATTAGTAAGCTAACTCGAGAACATAACTGTGTTGCTAAATTTTCTGCAAATCTGTGTGAATTTCAAGATCTGATTTCGGGGAGGACGATTGGCAATGCTAAGGTGTGCTCCGGACTCTTCCTTCTTGAGGTTGATGGATCTTCTAGAAGACAAACTCATAATGCAGTATGTGTTGAGTCAAATAAATGTTCCGTTCCTTGTGATAATTCCAATAAAGATAATGCTATTATGTTGTGGCACTATCGATTAGGTCATCCTAATTTTTTGTATCTTCAAAAACTGTTTCCATCCCTATTCAGAAATAAAAATCCAACAATGTTTCAATGTGAGGTGTGTCAATATTCAAAGCAATACTCGTGCATCTTATCGTATTCTACCAAACAAAGCATCTCAACCTTTTTTGATGATTCATAGTGATGTGTGGGGGCCATCTAGAATAAAAAAATCACTGGCACTAGGTGGTTTGTATCTTTTGTGGATGATCACACAAGAATCACGTGTTGTTTCTTATGAAAGGGAAATATGAAGTTGGACCAATTTTTAAAAAATTCAATGTCATGGTTCAAACCCAATTTCAGACAAAAATACAAGTGTTAAAAACAGACAATGCAAAAGAATACTTTGAAACGACTCTGGGTGATTATCTTGAAAGTCAGGGAATTGTCCATCAAAGCTCATGTACCAATACACCCGAACAAAACGGGATTGCCGAAAGAAAAAATTGACACCTTTTGGAAGTTGCTTGATCTCTCATGCTCACCATGCACGTTCCAAAATTTTTCTGGGGTGAGGCAGTACTAACAGCTGCATATCTAATAAACAGAATGCCATCTCGAGTCCTGAATTTCCAAACACCTTGTCAAGCTCTTCTTCACTCATTTTCAAATACTCGTATTTTATCCAACTTTCCCATAAAGGTCTTTGGATGTTCCACGTTTGTCCATATACCTGCCCAACATAGAAGTAAACTCGATCCAAAATCACTCAAATGCATCTTTATTGGGTACTCTTCAAATCAAAAGGGGAATAAATGATATTCACCTGTCACTCGAAGGTTCTATAACACCATGGATGTCACCTTTTTCGAGCTACAATCCTATTACAAAATTGGTATTCAGGGGGAGAACTATATATAGGAATACCAATCTTGGGACATCAATACCTCATACTCATCTAGAACTCCCTATCCAAACATCTCAGAACCTGTACTCATCCAACAACCTGAACCCGAGTCATTTCAACACCAAAGTCAAAATCACCCGGAGTCATCTCAGCAGCAAAATCAAGACCCTACTCCAGTCACTCACACTCAACCTGAACTTCGTTCTCAGATAGAATTCCAAACACCTCAGGGATCCAACCGTACACCGCTTGCAACAAATGAGTTCCGTGTCTACTCTAGGAGGACAAAAACTCATGAAGGAAGAGAGCGCCAGCCACCTGATCAAAACCATGAATCCAATCCGAACCATGAATCTCAGAATTCACCAGGTAACACTAATCCTGATCTCGCACCTGTCAATTCTCCTATTGATGATAGACCTATTACCTTGAGAAAAGGAAAAAGGTTACACGGATCATCCAATCTACAATTTTGTCTCATATAGAGGATTGTCACCCAATCACTATGCCTTTGTTAGCAATCTTGATAAAATACAGGTTTCGAACTTAGTACATGAAGCTCTCAAAGTACCTGAGTGGAAGGCAGCTATTTTGGAGGAAATTCAGGCACTAGAAAAGAATGGAACTTGGGAGATTTTGGAGTTGCCAGCAGGAAAATGCCTAGTTGGCTGTAAATGGATCTTCACAGTCAAGCACAATGCGGATGGCAGTATAAACAGATTCAAGGCACGACTTTACTCAATCTTACGGAATTGACTACCAAGAAACATTTGCCCCTGTAGCGAAGCTCAATACAGTTCGAGTATTACTCTCTCTTGCTTCCAACCTTGATTGGCCACTATATCAAATTGATGTGAAGAATGATTTCCTCAACGGGGACTTAGAAGAAGTCTACATGGAGATACCACCAGGATTTGAAAATGGAATATCATCAACCAAGGTCTGCAAGCTCAAGAAGTCTCTATACGGCCTAAAACAATCACCAAGGGCATGGTTTGACATGTTTACTAAAGCACTCAAGAAGGTTGGGTACGATCAATGTCAGACATATCACACCATGTTTGTCAAACATACAACCTCCAGAAAAAAGGCAATACTCATTGTGTATTTTGATGACATCATTCTAATCGGAGATCATCATGAAGAAATAGTCAAACTCAAAAGTTTTCTGGCCAAAGAATTTGAGATTAAGGACTTGGGGACCCTCAAGTACTTCCTCGAAATGGAGATAGCTTGATCAAGAAAGGGAATTTCAGTCTCACAACGAAAGTATGTGTTAGACTTGTTGAAAGAAACTGGGATGCTTGGATGCAAGCCTGCCGACACTCCTATGGACCCCAACTCAAAACTTGGAAGAAAAGATGACAGTGCTCTCGTTGATAAAGGGAAATATCAAAGGTTAGTTGGGAAACTAATTTACCTTTCTCATATTAGACCAGATATTAGTTTTGCTGTTAGTATGATGAGTCAATTCATGAACAACCTGACAGAAGAACACATGGAGGCAGTATACAAGATCCTAAGATACTTAAAAATGACACCTGGTCAATGACTGTTCTTCAAAAAGACAATAAACAGGGAGATCGAGATCTACACCGATGCAGATTGGGCTGGATCTATTACAGACAGAAGATCAACCTCAGGATACTGCACATATGTCTGGGGAAACTTAGTTACATGGCGGAGCAAGAAGCAGTCAGTTGTGTCTCGAAGCAAGTGCAGAGGCAGAGTTCGGGGTACTAGCTCATGGCATTTGCGAAGGAATGTGGTTAAAGTGGGTACTCTGTGAACTTAAAGTTCCCATCACAAAGCCGATGAAAGTATTGTGTGATAATCAGTCAGCTATCAGCATAGCAAAGAATCCCATACAGCACGACAGGACAAAGCATGTTGAGATTGACAGACATTTTGTTAAAGAAAAGATAGAGACTGGAACAATGTTACTCCTATACATTTCAACTAGTCAACAGACAGTAGACATTCTGACTAAAGCTGTGACTAGAAAGATTTTTGATGAACTTAATTCCAAGCTAGGTTTGATCAACATCTACAACCTAGCTTGAGGGGGAGTAGAAATCCGGATCCTTCCTGATCTCTAGGGGTCCGGATTCTTCTCTAATTTGAAGGATATTTGCCAACTGTAAATGAGATGTCAAATAGCCTGTTTTATTAGTTTCCTAGAATAAGGGATTCTGGTAGTAACTTACCAATTCCCATTTAAGTAGTTTCCTATCTTTAGTCCTTTAGTTCTACTATTTATATTCTTGTAATGTTACACCAGAAGATCAATGAGAAATTATCAATTTCACTCCCAATTTCTCACATAGATGAATTTTACTCTGCAGTTTGATTTGGAGGTCACTACACTTTGAAGTTTGTTGTGCTACTCATAAATATAATTACTTTTTCTCGTGATGTACTTTTTCAACTTCTAGTGATAGCAGTAAGCTGATGGAATTGTTTGAGTATGATATTAGTTTTGGTTCTTGAGTCTAAGGTTGTAGTTGGTCACTTGTTCCTGATATTTTAACATGATTACTTATCTTGCCTTCCAAAATCTATGGTGTTGAACTGTTTCAGGTCCTAGGGGCCATAAATAGATAGATAGCAGCTATGTATATTATGGAAATTTATATTCTGCGCCCTTTTTGAAGGTTAATTTTTAGGAATAGAGTGCATTTTCAACACGCTATCACGAATTTACCAGTCCACCGTTTTGAACCACTGATTTCTCATTGTGTTGGTTTTAATAATCTTATTCCTTCTAGTTCATCACTACTACCTCTAGGTTGCAGCAATATCCATCTAGACACGACGTTGTGTTGGGATGAAATACTACGTGTCCTGCATGGACATAAATTTCAGATGGATGTTTTCTTTTATGATTAGAAGTTGTCCCCATTAATGAAACCTAATGGTTGATGAAGCTCATGTCACAGGGCTGGCTTTCAAACTCAAGCAAGGCTGCAATCGGTGGTAGATCATTAGGATAATGACCCAGCCATTGTTGTTTCTTAACTCACTTTTCATGCATCTAGCCTCTCACTCTACATTTCCCAGATTATAGATGTGGCTTGTCCTCTGCATCTGCACTTCTTTTTGTGGAATTCTTCATGATCCAAGAAGCACCAACTCTATGTCCCATAATCTAGCTAAATGTGTTTTAGCCATTAGTTACATTGACGTTCTCAGTATTTTTGCCTCGTTCTTGTGGAGTGCAGAACAATTTGATTGAATCGTTTTCTTTTAGTAGCTTTTGTTAGATCTCTCTTTTTCTCAGTTGCATGCTCACTGTGACTGCATTGCTGCCCTAGGTTCCAAATGCCTGCGAAATTTTAATTTTATCAGACTGTTAATGTTATATGTGAACTATGCACGTTTTCTGTATTGCTTTTTTCTTGAATACATACGCACACACGAATATATAATATTGCAGAATTGAAGTTGTCTAATTGGCGTTTAAATTTGCAGGTTGCCGATTGCTCCCATGCCTTTAAACCAATCTCCGCCTTGTTCAGTGGCACAATGACCGGAACCAGTGTGAACATGTATCAGTAGCATTTGGCGCGGATCAAACTTTTCATTTGTTTCTGTTGTATAATAAACCTTGTTTTCTCGGCCCGGCTGTTGTAATCTTAACTATACCGGCTATTGGAATCTTAACTATACCGGCTGTTTTGTCTTCCTTTTCATCTATTTTTGAACCGTTGTAGTTTTGTTGAGATCAGACATAAATTTGGGACAGCTTTATCTCCACCATAATGTACGTACTTATTGCCTGACTTCTCGTTCTCAGCTCGGTTGTCCAACAGGATTGTCACTGCACTTTGTTACTAGTCCTAGAAGTGTTGAAAAGTAAACAAAAAAAATCAACTGCCCTGCGTATTTCAATTTTCATGTGAATCATATTATTGCCAAGTACGATGATAATGGGTTCCATTAACATTTCACACTTGTTTTAGTGGGAAACTTCTTAATGTTCTACTTCCTTTCATCTTCTAATTATTTGATTGAGAAAATTACAGATTCTATCTCTTAAAGTATCTGACTTATTAAAATTATTTAAAAAAAAAAATTCTCTTAACTAGTTTTAATTTAAAGATAAAAATATATAGGTTAATGTTAAGGGGTAGAAATAAAAATAGGGTTCTATTTCAAGAAGTATTTTTTAAAATTGCCCTTATTGATTTGCTTTTTTAAGGCGTTTGGTATGTAATTAATCTTAAAGGTGGGACTACTTATCTGCCAAGAATAACTTACTGTGGGAGATCATTTGCCAAGAGAAGTGGAGTTCAAAAAAAAAAAAAAAAAAGGTGGGACTACTTATCTGCCAAGAATAACTTTCCTGTGGGAGATAATTGCCAAAAAAAAGGGGATTTAAAAAAAAAAAAAAAAATTGTGCATGGAAAGATTTTTAGTTCCTTATTAATGAAATCAAGTCGTTTTCAAAACGTGATTTAGATTTGTGTTTAATGTTTGTCATCATTCGTTGAAGGGAAAACCCTTTCTAATGCAAGTAGTTTTGAAGGCCAACTAAGCGTTATCTAACTTTTTCTCCAATAGTTGGACAACCGTTTTGGATCCTCCATTGTCATTATCAAAAAAAGTTCCGGTCAATCTTAATCCACATAATCTGTGCTTTTCTCAAGTTGCTTGTACAAACAAAAGATTAATTACTGGAATTTGTGAATATTTATTTATGGCTATTTGCATGGAAATCATGTCGAGTCGGACAACATTGGAATCAATTTAAGTAACACGTATTTTAGTGGGAAACATCTTATAAATGCTTTTCCTTTTCATCTTTTCATTCATTATTTGTATCTTTTTTGCATTTTCACGTATAAGAACAACTTAGCGTGGGATGATTATTAATTTGCCAAAATTATTCAACGGATAAATAGCTTGGAGATATTATGGAATCTTTTATCTTGTCCATAGAAAGATGGTTGGTTCCTTGCCAGCTAAAAGTCATTCTCCAAATTGGGATTTTGTTTATAGTGTTATTTTCACTATTCCCATAAGAAAACAGCTTGACAATCTTCCATATCCCAGAACCCCACTAACTGTGATTTGTTTTATACTTTTTTGTGTTCTTTCACTATTCCAATTGAAGAAAGACAATCTTTCATATCCCAGTACCCCACTAGCTATGATTTTGACGCCCATCCAATCACGCTCGTTTATTTTTAGCAACACGATTCTGTATATCATGATCATTGTTATACTCTACTCAATGTGTTATTTTGACCAATGGCCGCTAAGGATATTATACATTTCTCCCACTTTGATTTCTAACTCTAACTAATACAAACATGCTGTACAAGAATGAGACGTAAGAGTTCTACAAAAGATAAAATGGTGTAAAAGACGAGCAAATCTTTAAAAAATATATATATATATTCGAAAAAGAAAAGAAAATTACATCTAGACTGAACGACACAATCTAGTTTTTATTTTGTATATGGCCTTTTAGGATTTTTTTAAATTTTTATTTTTCAATAATCTTAACAATTATTTTTTGAAAGAGCATGGATCATAATTTTTTGATGGAGAAAATTCGGAATTGGGAGGATGAAAAAATAGAGAAAAACAGAAAGAGGGTTTGAGGCGTATATGAATACTTTCCTTTAAGGTTTTATTTGCCCTCACTTCTCAAAGTTTGCTAACGAGTTTTAAAATGGCAAATTACCCCCAAGATACAACAAACCCTTGAACACAATATCCAGCAAAAATATTGAGTTCCAGAACAATTAACAATCTGTATTTTCTGAAGTCCATCAAATAAATACAGGGATGCATCCATCCTCTTTAAGTGTTACAACCTTTCACATAAAGATACATTTTCAATTTGAAGGTTATCTTTTATACGTGATGCACTTATATCAATAGTTATTTCTATTGTTAATAAGTGCTCAGATATGTGAGAACAAATAGATGCAATGATTTGAGACCTTTTCAGATCACTAAAACACACGAAAACACATTTTCTGTTAACAATTTGCGCTGCAGCGCCCAAGAAGCGCGCTGCAGCGCACGCTGCTGTGCGCTGCAGCGCGCGGGCTTAGCAAAACAGACCCGAAAGGTCTGTTTTGCGCAGGCTGCAGCGCCCAAGAAGCGTTGCAGCGCGCGCTTGTGTTCGCCCACTCTTCCCGAATGTGTTTTAAGCCAATTTTTGTGATATCGAAATTGAGAGATATATTACAATCTCTCTAACAATCCCCCACTAGATTGTAATATTTCTTCAGAATTAACAACGATAAACACATACATACATGAAGGTATCTTTCGATTTAACCTTTACTTAGTGACTATACTTCAAAGTATTCACAAGACAATAGTGTGCTTTGCATTAAACTTTGTCTCTTAAGCAAATACCGGAAATATATCACATATGTGTTATCCCAGATTTAAAAACTGTTCCAATCGTTTAGTACTATTCCGGCCTTGTGCTCTATCTTGGATTCATGAACATTTACAAGACTAAACCAAGGTCTTGTTAGGAACGGCACCATTCCTTATGTTCACTTAGGTGAAGTTCGAATTATATCTCTAGCTACTATGAGACTCGAACTTCATTACGAGTATAAACTCAACCTCAAACACGTAGCTATTTTTACACCGATATCCTGGAAGGGACTAATTAAAGTTCAGTGTTAACCCGGTCACATAACAATAATTTGTTCTTACCAATTTAACTATGGAATAACAGTACAACTATTATATAGTTGGGTTACCATCATTGGTGACTCTTTCAAAGAAAGGTTTCAGTCTCATTCCACTAGATGTTTCTTTGACTAAGTCTCTTGAAAGACCTTTCGTCAAAGAATCCGCTAGGTTCTTGTTTGTCCTAACATAAATAATATTAATAACATTGTTTAATATATTCATGTCTCAAGCTAATATGTCTAGATTTTCCATTATAAACCTTGTTATAAGCTCTAGACAAAGTAGCTTCACTATCACAGTACAAAGAAATAGATGGCATCGGTTGTGGCCACAACTCAATATCAAGCAATAGATTTCTTAGCTATTCCGCTTCTTTGCCTGCAGCGGCAAGTGCTATAAACTCACTCTCCATCGTAGAGTGAGTTATGCACGTTTGTTTCATAGAAGCCCAAGAGACGACTCCTCCTACAATAGTGAAAATCCACCCGGATGTAGATTTATTATCACTTGCACTTGTTATCCAACTTGCATCCGAGTACCCTTCAAGTACGGTCGGATAGTCATTATATGACAAACCCAAGTTAATGGTTCTTTTAAGATAACCAAGTACTCTTCCAATTACATTCCAATGTTCGATACACAGGTTACTCGTGAACCTAGACATTTTGCATACCGCAAATGCTATGTCGGGTCTTTTACAATGCATAACATACATTAAGCTACCGATCGCACTAGCATATTCAAGCTGTGCCACCGCTCTGCCTGCATTCTCTAGTAATTTAATACTAGAATCATATGGGGTATTTGCTTCTTTAAACTTCAAATGATTGAATTTAAGAAGCACCTTCTCAATATAATGAGATTGACACAACGAGTAACCCCCACTATGCTTCCTCACTCTTACGCCTAAGATAGTATCTACTTCACCAAGATCTTTCATCTTAAATTGTGAAGTTAGATATTTCTTGGTATCATTTACCCCTTGCATGTTTGTTCCAAAAATAAGCAAGTCATCAACATATAAGCATATTATCACACCAAAAACAATTTGTAAATTTAGAGTATAAGCATTTATCCGCATTATTATGCTTAAAACCATGAGATAAAATGACATTATCAAATTTCTCATGCCATTGTTTTGGTGCTTGCTTTAAACCATAAAGTGACTTAACTAACTTGCA